ATAAAAAAGTAAAAGTATTGGATATATATAGTATTGGATCAACTTTGATATGTAGTAAATCTGTAATTAATATGACATTCATCAGTAAATTTGTCGAAATCAAAACAATCTAATTCACTCAAAACAAATTATAAACTCAGGTCAGTGAAAAAGATTATAAAAACCAAACATCTGAATGCGACTGATACGGGCACCAGTGACCCTGAAAGGAAGAAGTGGGATAATATAGATAATGGGTGAAGATATATCAGGGTTTGCATTTCTGAACACATAGTTAGTTTAGGAATAAGTAAGGTTAAAGAGCTCAAAAGTGAAAAAGTATTCAGTTAAATAAAACAAATTTAAGAATCATTTGTTGCTTTTATTGCTCTCATTGAAAACAGTACTTCATAGAAAAACACTGACATTTTTTTTCCTTCCTGCGTAACCTACAGTTAATTGAACATATCAGAAGATTGTATAAAACTGATTTCAGTTGTACAACATAAAAAAATGAAACAATTAGAGTCAGTTAGGAAGTGAAAAGGTCCAGATGTACAGATTACAGAACAATGTGGAAGACAGTGTGAATCGGGTCAAAAGCAACATGAACTTCAAGTTTTAAACTCAGATGGGTGTGAAACGAGTCAAAGAGCAAAAGTAAAACTGAGTGCTGGTGTTGAGGAATAAATACGTACATTTTAATCAGCAACAGGAGAATCAACTCATTTGATTAATATTTGGACAATAAATAAGATGCTTTTCTTCTAAATAGGTTTTGAAGAATATCTGTTCACTGAAGCTGTACAAACTTTATCATTTTACACTTTAAAAAAGCAGAAAACCCCCCACAGTCAGATCTTGGATGATTTTTTTTCTGTTCAATCATAACTTTAAAAGAAAATTACTCAAATGAAATCATCCAATTATCAGACCCTGGATTGGTTTCTCTCTTAACATGATAAAAAAAATTAAATTAAATTAACAGATTGAGTTGATTACACTCAGTTCATAGAATCATTTTGAAATATTAATTAGACTTATCATAAATTAATGCACATTTTAAATGTTAAAATAAAACAAAATGTATTTTTTTTTCAACTATTAGTGAAAAGTGAGGCAGAATCGCCCTTAAATGATTTCACTTTAACATTGTTTTCTAACAGGAAAACAAAAAATACACACATTACACAAGTGGAAGCTGAGAGATGTTTTACAGTGAAGTGATCAGAAATTGTTAAACAGTAAAGTTAAGCTAAGTGAAGTTGTGATTACGTCCCTAAAAACTCCCTAAAACAGGGAAAATACAACAGAGACCACAGGAAGACATGAGAGGGAAAAAAAAAAAAATCCACCATTGGTGAAATAAAGCTTTAAATAAAACTGATCAACATGAACTCAAAACATTCAATAAACATTTCATCAAATTTATTGAACCCTGCTGCTGAATGTGCACAGATTTGTTTAAAGATTACAGCAGTTTGGATTTAAAAGCTTCCAACCCTAGAATAAAATAAGTATTTTATATTTATATTTGTTCATAAAACATTTTTAAACTGAAGGATGTTTTTCTGTTAAGTAAATGAGTTGTAAAGTTTAAAGCTCTCTATACAGCCTGGACCTCTTTGGTGATTAAATAAATGATTACCGTTTCCATCAATAATCTCAAAAACACTGGTTTAAACAGTCTGTAGTAGCCCTTTTCTGCAGGAAATCATGCAGGTGTGAAAACAGATTCACTTGAGAGTCTTTGTTCCTTATTCCGTACCGTTGGAGTGCTGAGACAAATCATTCCAGCTGCTTGGATTTAAAACTTCAAGTGAAAAAAAAGAGAAAAAAAAAGAGATAAAAACACAGTTAGGGGTCGGCACTGTGGTACAAAACGAACAGATGGCTGTCGTCACGTCGATATGCTGGGCTTCTGGAGAATCCTGTCACAGTTCAGTTTCAGAGCTCTTCTTCCCGAAGAATACATTTTCTTCCCGATCGATCCGAAATCGAGGGGGAACCGTAAGAGAACGAACCTCCACCAAGTCTGTAGGACAAAAAGACAATGAGTGAAATCATGTTGGGAAACAAAGTTTTACATAATCAGAATTTAATGAAATGATCTGGTCTTTCTTTCCTTCTGATAAAATCTGGGAACTGACAGCCTGAATTAAGGTTTTTGCGTTTGGTCTTTTAGGCCACACCCATTTCCGCCAAAAAAAATTTTTTTCTACATCACAAATTTTGCAAAACCTACATTTAGATTCTTTTTAAACATGTAGAATCCAGTCACTACAAAACACTCCATGCTCTATTTCAGGGGTGGGCAATCCTGGTCCTGGAGGGCCGCAGCCCTGCATGTTTTACTTTTTTCTCTGCTCAAACACACCTGATTTGAATGAATGGGTGATTATCAGGCTTCTGCTGTACGGAGGACCGAAACTGACACAATTAAAAATAAAAGCGGAAATATATAAATTGATTAGTAAATTAATACACTTAAAGTGCACCAATATAATTCAAATATATAAAT